TGGTGTTTATCTCTTAGAATTTCAAGAATATTCTAGAGCTTTCTTATGGTTTTTAGGATTTTTTATAAATAAGCCCTAGAGGCCTCTTTTTGTATTCAGTTGATTGATTAATAAAATTAAAGAGCTTTTAGTTTTTCAGAGAAGAGTATTCTCTAAACTCTAGTTTCGGCAGATCTAGAGAGATCTCAACGAATCCAGGAAGACATTGATCTTAGGTATTCCCAGACTAAATAAGATCATTGCATCTATCTAGCTTCTGCTACGTCAAGAAGGCAGACAAGAAATAAACCGTAGGCGAATATGCCGGATAACACGCCTTAGATCCAGGAACCGCTTCAAACCCAAGGATCTGAAACGACTCAGAGTGGAGAAAAAGAAAACACACGCCTCTGAGTCATTAAAGTTGTGAAACCAGAAGATTTTACAACAATAAATTGGGTTGACTGCGCTGGCCCCCCTCAACTTTTCTCATTCCGCTTCGATCCCCCTAGACTTTTGACCTCTCTATTTTTTTTCTTAAACAGTACATCTCTTCATATTTCCCCCAAACTATTTAAACTCTTCAAATTTTCCAAAATCGAAATTGCGTTTCATTAACCGAGTATTAACCGATATTCGTCTAACCTAATCGTGTTTACAATAACCCGAATTTAGCTAAAATTCGAATCTTACCCCTATTTAAAACCCTCACTTTTTCACAGAGAATGTTACAATACGGGTTATATATCAAACGTGATTATGACCAAGTTAATCTAAAGGGTATTGTTTTAAACACAATTTTCGGTTAATTAAAAAAATCAATCGTTTAACTCGATTTGAAAAATTTTGAAGAGTCTAAATAGTTGGGGGGGAATATGAATAAGATATACTTCTAAGAAGAAGAAATAGAGAGGTCAAAAAGCGGAACGGGGTTTAAAACATTCAACCCCAATAAATTTCTCGCCACCACCACTTGTCGCTTCCGCAGATCTACCTTGTCGTGGCCTTGTCGCCTGAGTATGATGGGTCTTCAAAGATCCAGGAATCAGATTAGCAAAACCATGGAGAAACCTTCGACTAACCTCTTCTAATCTACAGAAGACGGATCGGTGAAGGAGAGCTTCCGAGGAACCACCTAGAGCATCGACACCAGCAAACAAGATGGTTAACTGTACCGAATCAATCCCGTCGACTCCAGCAAACAGAAATCTCGACGAACATCGCTTCCTTTTGGAGCCAACCATTCTAATCAGGTTCGCCGTGAAAATCTTCTTCATTTCGTCCTTAATCCACCCCGAAGAATATGGATTGAATCTCCATGGCTCGACCTAGCTTTGAATCGAACAACCTGATGAAGAACAAGAGTCGTGAAGGAGAATGAAGTGGTTAGGCTTTGTTCAGACTAAAATGGTGTCGTTTTAGGTCTTTTTAATCACATAAAATTAGCCAAAGCGGCAGCTTTTTGGTAAAAAAAATGTACATACAAAACGACGTCATTTTAGTGGATTGTAATATTTTTTTTATATATAAAAAAATCCAAG